TCCGTGAGATAAACCAATCCGGTAGATAAACCAATCCGGTAGATAAACCAATCCATGAGGTAAACCAAAGCATGAGATAAACCAATCCGGTAGATAAACCAATCCATGAGGTAAACCAAAGCATGAGATAAACCAATCTGTGAGATAAACCAATCCATGGGGTAAACCAAAGCATGAGATAAACCAATCCTTGAGATAAACCATTCCATGCGATAAACCAATCCGTGAGATAAACCAATCCATGAGATAAACCAAACCTCATGGATTGGTTTATCTACCGGATTGGTTTATCCATAAGATAAACCAATCCATGAGCTAAACCAAACCGTGAGACAAACCAATCCATGAGATAAACCATTCCATGAGATAAACCAAAGCATGATATAAACCAATCCGTGAGATAAACCAATCCGTGAGATAAACCAATCAGTGAGATAAACCAATCCACCAGATAAACCAATCCATGAGATAAACCAATCCGTGAGATAAACCATTCCATGAGATAAACCGTTCCATGAGATAAACCAAAGCATGAGATAAGCCAATCCGTGAGATAAACCAACCCGTGAGATAATCCAATCCGTGAGATAAACCAATCCATGAGATAAACCAATCCGTGAGATATACCAATCCGTGAGATAAACCAATCCGGTAGATAAACCAATCCGTGAGATATACCAATCCGTGAGATAAACCAATCCGGTAGATAAACCAATCCGGTAGATAAACCAATCATGAGGTAAACCAAAGCATGAGATAAACCAATCCACGAGATAAACCAATCCATGAGATAAACCAATCCGGTAGATAAACCAATCCAGTAGATAAACCAATCCGTGAGATAAACCAATCCGTGAGATAAACCAATAAGTGAGATATACCAAGTCGATAAACTTAGTATCACAATGGGATGAATATGCAAATGAAGGCTCCTCGCAGGAACTACTTTCACTAAGCTCCACACATTGATGCGATGCCTACTGTTGTTTTACGTTCCTAAAACCTTTGATGGAGGTTGGATGATGTGTGAGTGCGCACGTAAACAAACATGGCTGCAATTCATTTGTAACTGTATCATACATGAGGATGTTCACTCTGGCTGTGTGCTCATAATCGGTGTCTGAAGTTACTTTAATGAACGGTAATATGCCTTTACGTCGAGACAGCCTCCGCGGTCTAGTGGTAGAGCGTCTGCCCGGAAAGTGGAAGGTCCGGGGTTCGATCCCCAACAGCGTCATACCCACAGCCGTTAAAAGATGGTACTTGTTGTTACCTCCCCGCTCGGCATTAAGGGGCTAAACCAAACACTGGTCACACACACACACACACACACACACACACACACACACACGTGCATGCACGTCGCTATATAAGTGCAATAATCTTGGACGTTAAACACCATTTCACCTTACACGTACCTTCCCTTTAATGTCGATAATCATAAGAATGTATGTTTCTTTATCAATATGAATTGGAATTTCTGCTGGGGTTGGCAAAATCAAAACAAGGGAATTTGACCAAGAAGTTCAACTTAAGCTTCAGCTATATCGATGACCAGATATCGTCCAATAATAGCCAAACAGCCAATTCTCTTACACTGATCTACCCACCAGAACAAGAAATAAAGGAGACATGTGAGACCACCTCATCTGTTCCATATTTGAAATATGCATAAAGATTCAGTGTGGCAAAAAACTCTCCACAAGACTGTGTGACAAGAGGGATGACTTTAACTTTCAAATAAGCAAATGTCCCTTCATGCCGAGCAATATTCCTGCAGCTCCGGCTTTTTTTGTTTACATTTGGCAACTTTTAACTTTTAAGGTACAATCGAGAATGTTGTCTCACCATACGTGAGTGAGTGAGTGAGTTGGGTTTAACGCCGCTTTTAACAGTATTCCAGTTATATCATGGCGTGTCAATTAATGTGAGAGGAAAGCCCGAAGTGATGCAGGTCTCAGACGTTTACCATTTCGGTGAAACCCACGAGCACGGGTATGGTGCTGACAAACCTGGAAACATAATCGGGGCGAACCGGCATACGAACCCACAATCATAGGTTTCGGGCGTGCCCAAGAGACGCAACTCTGCACAGGAAATCGCGGCGCCTTAGACAACTGGGCCACCCGTACCCCCTCTCACCATACGACTCATGCTCAGAAATTGTTTGATCAAGGTTACAAAATTCTAGGCCCCAGCAAAGCTTTCAAAGAGGTTTATGGTAGACATGTGGAGGACATTTCCAAATTTGACGGATCAGTGACCAAAATGATGTCGGATGCAATTCCCTATTTTGACTTGTACCGTATATTCCCGTGGTTCACGCGAACAATTGACTAGCCTTTGCATGTTTTCGGTACTTGTGCCACCGGTGGGGCAAGATACCACCTGGTAGCATCTCTATTTGATAGTGATTCAGAAACACATGATCACGATATTGTCGGACAAATCTTATGAATATGGAAACGTTTTTGTCGCTTTTAATGGCATGACTCGGCCGGGGATCGAACCAACTACATTAAGCTCTCTGAGACATCTGTCCACTTGATCACGGGTGCAGTGTTTCGAGAAAGAAAATGAGTAATAGAGAGAAACGAGTAGCATGAAGTAAAGTGAGTAGTATGCAGGTGAAAACTGAATAGTAATGACATCAGAGAGATAATGAGTAGCATGGAGAAGTAAAATGAGTAGTATGCAGGTGAAAATGAATAGTCATGACATCAGAGAGAAAACGAATAGCATGGAGAAGTAAAATGAGTAGTATGCAGGTGAAAAATGAATAGTTATTACATCAGAGAGAAAACGAATAGCATGGAGAAGTAAAATGAGTAGTATGCGGGCGAAAAATGAATAGTAATGACATCAGAGAGAAAACGAATAGCATGGAGAAGTAAAATGAGTAGTATGCAGGTGAATATGAATAGTAATTACATCAGAGAGATAACGAATAGCATGGAGAAGTAAAATGAGTAGTATGCGGGCGAAAAATGAATAGTAATGACATCAGAGAGAAAACGAATAGCATGGAGAAGTAAAATGAGTAGTATGCAGGTGAAAAATGAATAGTAATTACATCAGAGAGATAACGAATAGCATGGAGAAGTAAAATGAGTAGTATGCGGGCGAAAAATGAATAGTAATGACATCAGAGAGAAAACGAATAGCTTGGGGAGTAGATGAAGGAAATTATAGGATGGGGAAGGAAAATGACCTGGGTCCCGTTCCTCAAAGCGATCTTAGCGCTACGATGATCGTAAGCCTAAAAGTATGTTAAAGTATGGGACTTACGATCACCTGAGTGCTAAGATCGCTTTGGGGAACGGAGCCCAGTCCTTGTTTTATCCCCTTAAGCAGGGTAACAAGTACCATCTTTAACGTATGACGGTATCACGGTGGTATCACGCAGCCACGGGATCGAACCAGCGATCATTCGATCTCTGGGTCGACGACGTAGCCACTAATCAACCGAGGCGGTATCACAACGTTTGAACAGTAAAGGTCATGTCTGACGCACACACCTACATTCAAAATAATACTTTGGCAATTCGTGAAAGAATAGAAAGAACATAAGGTCTGCAAATAATTGTAACACTATGCCGATATTACATTGAAATTAGTATTTTTTAGGAAACATGATAGAGGAAAGAACAAGTATCACACTTAAATATGTGTTATCGTATTTGCACATAAAATCTGACATTTGGGTGGCAAGTACGCACGTGACACACTGCAGTTACGACGAAGATGCATGTTCTTGTGTCACGTGGCACTGTCGCATCAGTACAATGAACTGAGACTGGTATCAGGCGATAATATTAGTTTGTGGATTTTAAGGAGATATGTTTTTTCCGGTTTTAGGTTTTATATCGGTGAGTCAAGTGAGGTTAAAAGACCGCTTTGAACTGTATTTCAGGCCACGGTGCGTCAGCTTAGTGATAGACATGGCATGAAGTGACGCCGGCCTTGGAGTGAGTGAGTATGGTTTTACGCCGCTTTTAGCAATATTCCAGCAATATCATGGCGGGTGACACCAGAAATGGGTTTCACACATTGTACCCATGTCGGGAAACTAACCCGGGCGTGACGAGCGATCGCTTTAACCACTAGGCTACCCGGCCTTTGTGGAACCGATGGGCACAAACATGTATATGGTACTAACTATACGAGATCATAATGAGGATTTGAGCCCACAGCCAGCCTATCCTCGCTCCGCTTAGGGACGCAACTGGATTTAGACCATTTGGCTACTCGTGTCGAGGGAACTATTTGTAAAAACCGAGTCAAATTCCTTGTTTCCTGTACTTTCTTGAACAAATTACTTTTTTGGCGGTCCCTTCGAATTCAAACAAATATCATTAAAATAAAATTAAATCATGCCATATGTCTACTGAAACTTCACGGAGAACTCTTTACTCTAGTCATATATTTAGTATAATAGTCCTCACACTATGGCTTCGTTGAGTACGATCAGGCGGATTAAACAACCCCAATCAGACTACAGAAAGTCGGTTGAACATTGTACCAGTGTGTGAGTATGGTTTTACGCCGCTTTGAACAATATTCCAGCAATATCACGGCGGGGGACACCAGAAATGGGCTTCGCACATTGTACCCATGTCAGGAATCGAACTCTGGTCTTCGGCGTGACGAGCGAACCTTTTGACTACTAGGCTACCAAAAAGATCTAGGCACCCTTTCATCTTTACATATACAGTAAACTACGGTTATAACGAACTCAAAGGGACCACAAACGTTAGTTCGTTATAACCGTAGTTCGTTATAAGCATATATTCATCATATATACAGCAAATGGCCGGGACCAAACAACAGTTCGTTACATCATTCAGTTCGTTATAACCGTGTTCGTTATACACGTAGGTCACAGTATGTCATTTTGCAATTGGTTTTGGATGCACGTACACATCAACCACTACTCCAAAATGACAGGACGTCGGAAATACTTTTTAGATTACCGTTTTTTTAAGAATCTGTTCAAATACCTTCAAATTGTGAATGGTCCAAATTGCTGTCAGTCTCTAAACCGGTTCCTTATTCCTTAGGTCTAACCACAAGGTAAATCCATGTCTGTTATTGTTGTCTTCCTTAGTCTTCTTGTCGTCTGCTAAGTAAGAGCAGACGACACCTTTACCAGACCCTTATTTGATTAACGCAAAGTTAATCAATGTATAGGCAAGGCCGCTCTTTTCCTCGTTTCAAAAGCTGGTTGTCCCCTCCAATATATTTGCTCTTCATTGATTTGTATGGAATTAATGTCAGTTCTCCGGAGACCACCTTGAAACAAGCACAGCTGCTTCTACAGAGAAACTGCCCATGCCTAAATCAGGGCACAGGTGTGTTGGTACCTTGGGCGACACCGCCGTGTGCTGTTATTCATCTTCTAAGTAAAGAAAGGGGACAGATCTCGCGGTCAATAAAACTTGTATAAAAAGGAAATTGACTGTCGAATATCACAGACACCAGGAAATGCGATGTGCAAACCAATTATTGGTATTTGTAGTTTGTGGTTGAATTTGTATGGTTTCATTTACAGGCAGTCTCTTATCTCACAAATAGTTGATTTCCAAATGAATTTAGGGAAAGATGATAACAGAAGTTGGGGGTTCCTTTCGTTATGGATTGGGATGATTCGGGGATCTTTATTGTCTCTCGGTGTTAAATACGTCTCAATTGGTTATTTGTGACTCGCACACTGTTTTGCAATATGCAACTTGGCTTCGTTGATTTGAGACAACGTTGGGTCCGTAGTTAATAGTTTGAAAAAGGTTTAATGTATTGAGAGATGTTTGTAATTAACAACAAATAACTTCTAATTTGGAGCCTGACAGTCACGCTGCGGTCTATTGACTAAACTATCTCACGGCGTCCATTAATAAAAAGTGGACCAGAAAAACCAGTGACTGAAAGCATGAACAACGATCCACACCATCGGCGTACGATGACCCGCATTCAACCAAGTCAAAGGCTTTCACAACCCCAGCCACATGTTAATCGGTTCTTCGAGCAAGCATGATGTATTGCGCACCTATTCTTACAGTAATGGCCACCGGGTATTTCCCTTTCACTACTTCCGTTACTACCGACAATATGAAGAATAAAGAGACCGACCAAAAAAATGGAAAACATACACTTTCCCCGACAATTCTTGAAAAAAAATAATTATGCTTTATATTTTTGGAAAAAAAAAGAAATTACCTGCCACACAAATTACATATTTGCAATGTGTTTTTTAAGAAAAAAAATATATTTGGGCTCATAGTTTAAGTTAAATATATATCGGGTTTTGCAACAGTAGCTGAAAAAAAGAAAACTGGTCTCAATACAAAATCCCATCCCTCGCCATCCAAAACGAAACAGAATCCATAAGATGCAAAAGGCTAAAGAGCGATTAAATGGGAATGGATGCGAATGGATCACTGAAAATCAGTGATTCCACCAGGTTTTCGCGTAAAGGGTATGTATGCCGGCCCTGGCGGTGATACCCGCCACTCAGGCACTTTGCATGAAAAAGTAAGTGTCAAAAATAAAGCTAACGTCAAAGCTGGATGTCGATGATTTTTTACAATGTTGGAGGCGAGCATTTCCTGATTAAAATTGAAAAACGTTGCATAGTATAATATAAGTAAGGAAGATGAGGAAGTAAGGATGAATTTCATTTTACATAAGAGACCGACCATGTCGATACATGTTTTCTTGTTAACTTCTCAATGTCACCACCGTGGTTAATGAGAATAAACAGTTTCCAAACCGTTACAGTAAACTACGGTTATAACGAACTCAAAGGGACTACTACTTTTAGTTCGTTATAACCTCAGTTCGTTATAAGCATATATACAGCATAACTACAGCAAATAGTCGGGACTAAAAAGTTAGTTCGTTATATCCGTCCGTTCGTTATAAGCGTGTTCGTTATAACCGTAGTTTACTGTATATGGTCTTCCCTTAACCAGCACTGTTTCAACAGTCTTCAATGTCAGCATACAAAACATCTTAGGACAGATAAACTACTGCCAGCTGTGCATTGATATCAGGAGAGATAAACACTGTATATTTTACACCTAGAGTTAATATTGGTTCAGAGAGCAGCTGAAGTCCCTAGGCTTATCCAGTGTATTATACCCTACGTGAAAATGTGAAATCTGTTAATGGACACACGATCAATGAATAGTAAATTTTATGAATGAGTGAGTGAGTGAGTTTGGTTTAACGCCGCTTTTAACAATACTCCAATTATATCGCGGCGTGTCAGCTTAATGTGGGAGGAAAGCCCGAAGTGATGCAGGTCTCAGACGTTTCTCACTTCGGTGAAACCCACGAGCACAGGTATGGTGCTGACAAACCTAGCTACATAATCGGGGCGAACCGGGATTCGAAGCCACAATCATAGGTTTCTGGCGTGCCCAAGGGACGCAACCCGTGCCAGCCTAAAGTTTATGACACAGACAGTTTTAGGTTTACAATCAACAGACGCAATGAATTGGGTGACGTAAGCTGCAGCAGTAATAAGGAACAATTTCTGTCTAATTTTAAATAATATATTGCTCTCACAGAATAACGTCACTGTGCAATGTCTTCTAAGGCCTCTCTCCGTTCTTAAATCCGGAATAGTGTTGGAAGGTGGCAGGAGTTCGGTGTTTACAGCTTGGCATCCTATCTACAACTTGGTACATAATACACGACTGGTCGATAAACGTCTTGAATTGCCCTCGTGTCACTCGTATTCTAGAAACAGATCCAACCCGAAACTTTCGGAACGATCAAGCGTGCTATGTTTGTCAACAAGTAGGGGCGGTAACTCTAATCATATTATCATATCAGGATCTGTCAGCTGTCGGGGGAAAGCCCAAAGTGATGCTCGCGTTTACCACTTTTGTGAAACACGGGCAGGGCTCCCGTGCCTCATAGTTCCTGTCTTCTATATCGTGTTCTTAACTTTTCTAAGATGCAGAATTTAAACTTTCATTGTCTTTTAGTGGAGTGAGTGAGTGAGTTGGGTTTAACGCCGCTTTTAACAGTATTCCAGTTATGTCACGGCGTGTCAACTTAATGTGGGAGGAAAGACCGATGTACCTGATGTAGGTCTCAGACGTTTACCACTTCGGTGAAACCCACGAGCACGAGTATGGTGGTGACAAACCTAGAAACATAATCGGGGCGAACCGGGGTTCGAACCCACAGTCATGGGTTTCTGGCCTGCCCAAGGGACGCAACTCTGCAAAGCGAATCGCGCCGCCTTAGACAACTGGGCCACCCGTGCCCCCTGACGTATATGAATCTGTACTATCACCCAAAGGTATTATAACTGGTTCAATAAGGCTGACAGCTAGCAAAGACTGCGTTGATCCTCTTTGACATGTGTGAGTTTGAGTGTTGTGTTACGTCTTGCAACGAGCCCTGTACAGTTAGATAGGATCAACAGGGTTGAGCTCACACTGTCTGAATGGCGTACGTCAGACAACGTGACCGTGTTGTGCCGCCAACACATATATCTTGTACTTTACTTGTTTCTTATTTAGCCGAATTTTCTCCATGAACTGGGCGGTCGGGTAGCCTAGTGGTTAAAGCGTTCGCTCGTCACGCCGAAGACCCGGGTTCGATTCCCGACATGGGTACAATGTGTGAAGCCCATTTCTGGTGTCCCCCGCCGTGATATTGCTGGAATATTGCTAAAAGCGGCGTAAAACCATACTCACTCACTCACTCACTCTCCATGAACTTTTGTTTCAGATGGTCTGAAGTCGACAATGTCATGTGTGGTCGCCTTCAGACCTCTCGTGGTTTGGCCGACAGTATCTGATTCCCGGACGTTAGATTAACTGGCGTTGTCCATGACTATGCCACTGAGGTTGTTTAGAATAGACAATAGCTGATATTCCAACCAATCTATGAACACATCACTCCTACAGTTCCCTTATGGAAATCACCAGTTTTCTTTATCACCTCGAAAACTAGCACCCATCCAGCAATAAGCCCCATATCATTGGTTGCAGCGTGCCAAACAATGACACCTTTACCTGATGGTACCATGGGTGCTCTTTGTCCATCTGCCGATGTTGCAGTGTTGATAAAACAAACGCTGCGTCATTTTGTTATTTTAGAAGATGCACATCCAGAATTTTCTCCATGTGATTTTTGTGTGTTGATAAGATGTTTTCGGAAGAATACATTATTATCATTATAACGGAGTCACGTACTCATATTTTTATAGTCCGTTTTAGACTGCCATCATTGGACAGATATCTATCCCTTTTTGAACGAGCAAAAAGCATTTTTCTAGCATTGCCGACAGTACAGTTCTTTAGTTGATTGTGTGTCTATGTGCCTTAATTGATTGTGTGTCATTGTGACCTGGTTGATTGTGTGTTATTGTGACCTGGTTGATTGTGTGTTATTGTGACCTGGTTGATTTTGTGTTATTGTGCCTAGTTGATTGTGTGTCTATGTGACCTGGCTGGTTGTGTGTCATTGTGACCTGGTTAATTGTGTGTCATTGTGACCTGGTTGATTGTGTGTCATTGTGACCTAGTTGATTGTGTGTCATTGTGGCCTAGTTGAGTGTGTGTCATTGTGGGCTAGTTTATTGTGTGTCATTGTGACCTGGTTGATTGTGTGTCATTGTGACCTAGTTGATTGTGTGTCATTGTGACCTGGTTGATTGTGTGTCCATGTGACCTGGTTGATTGTGTGTCATTGTGACCTGGTTGATTGTGTGTCATTGTGACCTGGTTGATTGTGTGTCATAGTGACCTGGTTGTTTGTGTGTCATAGTGCCTAGTTGATTGTGTGTCATTGTGACCTGGTTGCTTGTGTGTCATTGTGACCTGGTTGTTTGTGTGTCATAGTGCCTAATTGATTGTGTGTCATTGTGACCTGGTTGGATGTGTGTCATTGTGACCTGGTTGATTATGTGTCATTGTGACCTAATTGATTGTGTGTCATTGTGGCCTAGTTGAGTGTGTGTCGTTGTGACCTAGTTGATTGTGTGTCATTGTGACCTGGTTGATTGTGTGTCTATGTGACCTAATTGATTGTCTGTCATTGTGACCTGGTTGATTGTGTGTCTATGTGAC